GCGTCGAGGTTTAAGACAATAATTGGGGTTTTCTATACAGACCTGAGTTCGATAGTTGTACTGCTCTGAACACACCCATAGCTTGGATCTCTACAGTTTATTAATAAAGAAAACGCTTAAGCCGACCGCGAACATTAGTAATATTCAAGATGTAAAGATAATTAACTCTATATTCTTTGTCCTAGCCACAGCATCATTAGAGCAACAACGGCCGGCAGCAATTAACACACTGCTTTATCCTCGTCCCTTGGCCCTTTAGGGTTTTTTGGAATGTTAGTTTGCTGGCTGTCTGGCATCATAATTTCTTCAATAACGATAGCAGAATTATCCAATTAACTTCTTGATTTGTAATGCACTGTCTTACACAAGATAGCTCAAAGGTAAGGTTCCATATTAGAAATATCAAATAATTCAACACGCAGTCCCACACATTAATATGCCGGAATAAAACTGTCTATCTCAGGCTTAGACCTCTGTCTGTACGCCAATTTGGGCTCAAGTTAACCAATAGATATAAGAAAAAAGTGTGGGATTCGCGTGCACTTTTCGCAATGACATTTGTGGTTACAGAGTCTTCTCGAACGCTCAGCCTTCTTTCAAGTGAAATCAAGGCAAAACGGCGGGAATCATTAGAACAAATTACGCACGATATAGATGAAAATCTTCCAAATGCAAAAATATCAGAAATTGAGGTGTATTGCTCGTACATCGTTCCGCATGTAGTCACGTCATTCAGCGATCCTGTTGAGAGTCACAGGGAACGAGCTGTTCAGATTATATTTAAGCTATGTGACGCGATCGAAGATTCTTCACCACTTCTTCCCCATCTCATGCCCATACTGGTAAAGAGGTTTACTGACAAGGAGTTTATGGAAGAGGCGGAAGAAATTCGTCTCTTTTCACTTAAACTCCTACTTAACATGTTGCGGAAAATCAAGAAAGACCCAAGTTTCACTCCGGATTACTGCCTTATTATTCAAAGTGCCTTGGCGGATAGTTATCCAGACATAAAAGTCATCTGCTGTGATCTTCTTTCGGAATTGTCAACGAAGTTCAGTGCTGCATTTTATCGTTCCGCTGAACCTATCCTAAAACCTTTGCTAAAAAACATTACTCATCAGCAACATCGTGTACGGGTGGCTACTGTTAAAGCGGTTGGAACAGTTTTTGCCCACTGCAAAGGAGAATTCGTCGATTACACTATTGTGCCCCTGACGCAAAGGCTCTTCGACGCAAGCATTCCAGTTAGGAAGGCCGTAACTAATGTGGTTGGCGATTGGCTTCTTAACCTAATGGACCGTTACTCATATCACGCCAAATTGGTTCCACTCATGTTAAGTGGATTTATTGACGAATCCGAAG